ATGGTACGACGGCGGCCCCCTTCTTGGCAACGCGGGCCCTTCTTCAATTAGCACGGGATGAACGAGACAAGTTCCCTCTCGCCTCAGTACTAGTAGAAAAGAACTTCTACATAGACGATGCACTTTTTGGTTCCGACGACTTTCAAGAGGCGTGTGAACTTCGAGACCAGTTGAAAGCTTTACTGCAGTCCGGTGGAATGCATCTCCATAAGTGGTCATCCAATGATGAAAGGCTTCTGTCCTCCATTCCTAGTGAAGACAAAGATCAATATGTTTCAATAGGCGATAGTGGAATCAACGAGGTCATCAAGACATTGGGATTGATGTGGAATCCATCAACTGACGAATTTTTGTTTCGATCACAGTCTCCAAATAGAATCTCCAGACCCACAAAGAGACAAGTTTTATCTGAAATCGCCAAGATTTTTGATCCCCTCGGTCTCATTTCTCCGGTGGTGGTAGTAGCTAAAATCCTAATGCAAAATGTGTGGATCAGCAAGCTGAAATGGGACGATCCGTTAGACGAGAGCTTCATGAAACAGTGGGAGAACTTTTTGACATCGTTGCCGACTTCTGAGCAAATTCGCATCCCACGTCAAGTGCTATCAAGCGGAGCGGTCTACTACGAGCTACATGGGTTTGCGGATGCCTCGCAAAAGGCCTACGGTGCTTGCGTGTATGTCAGGTCAATCTTGTCAAATGGCAGAGCATCAATGAGATTGGTCAGTGCGAAGTCTAAAATTGCACCTATCACGCCATTGACTATTCCGAGAAAGGAGTTACTTGCAGCTCTTCTTCTAACGAGACTAGTTACTAAGGTTGAAGAAGCTTTAGAGATGAACTTCAAGTCAACAATCCTCTGGTCCGATAGTCAGGTTGTACTGGCATGGCTACGCAGACCACTTACCAGCCTACAGGTATTTGTTCAGCACAGAGTTGCCGAGATTACGTCCAACAGCCATTTTGTTTGGAAATACGTTCGCACTGACCAGAATCCAGCGGATACTGTGTCACGAGGACAATCTGCCAAGGAGTTAGCTGGAAACAATGTTTGGTGGAATGGACCACACTTTTTACGCACCGTCGACTACATGGAAGAGAAGATAGCTACGCTGAATGAGTGCGAAATTCCTGAGCTAAGAAATCAATTGTCCGCATTACCGGTGATGAACTACGACGAGTTTCCATTGTTGACGAAGTTTAATTCATTTAGAAAGTCTCAACGAATCGTGGCATACCTGTTACGCTTCATAAAAAACGCTAGAAAGAATAAGGAAGATCGGCTGCTATCTCCGCACCTCACCATATCGGAGCTTCGAACGGCATCGAATTTGATCGTAGGAGCTGTTCAGCACCAGGAGTTTGCCAAAGAAATCGAGTGTATTAGGTCGGGAGAATCCAATCACCGTCTAAACAACTTGAGGCCGTTTCTAGACAATGATTTGCTGAGGGTAGGCGGTCGAATCAGCCAGTCCCAACTACCATTTGAAGTGAAACATCAGCTGATATTACCTGACAAAAGTCCCGTAGTTCGTGGTTTAATTGCTGATATCCACCGAGAAAGCCTACATGCCGGATGCAGCAGCGTTCAATATGCTATGAGACAACAGTTCTGGTTGATTAATGCGAGATCTACAATCAGAAAGGTGTTACGAGGCTGTGTCACTTGCTTTAGGGCAAAACCTACTACAATTGATCAACAGATGGGAGATTTACCGTTCTACCGCATTTCCCCGGCCAAAGCCTTCGAGAGAGTCGGACTTGATTTTGCGGGCCCGATTTATGTCAAGCAGTCAGTGCGGAAGGCTACTCCAGTGAAGGGCTACATATGCGTTTTTATATGTATGGTAACGAAGGCCATACATTTGGAAGCTGTGGAAGATTTGTCTGCTGATTCGTTTCTGGCTGCATTTCAGCGCTTTGTGTCCAGACGAGGATTTCCGGAAAAAGTGTTCAGCGATAATGGAACGAATTTCATCGGAGCCAGGTCTGCGCTGCGGGATCTGTATCGACTCTTCAAGGAGGAAACTACCCAAAATAAGATTTTTGAGTATTGTCAGGCAAAGCAGATCGACTGGAATACGATCCCACCAAATGCACCACATTTCGGTGGTCTTTGGGAGGCTGGAGTAAAGAGCGTGAAGGCAGTACTGAAGAAGGTATACCAAACTACATCACTAACGCTTTTCGAACTTTCCACCCTGTTATGCCAGATTGAAGCTATCTTGAATTCGAGACCTTTGTATTCCCTATCAAGTGACCCGGCGGAACCTGAAGTACTGACTCCTGGTCATTTTATTATCAACCGTCCGCTTTTGGCAGTTCCCGAACCATCAGTCTTGGATATACCGACAAACCGCTTATCTCACTGGCAGCACATTCAAAAGTTACGCGAGCACTTCTGGAAGCGCTGGTCGCGAGAGTATGTCACCGAAATGCAAGTGAGAGGAAAGTGGACGAAGCAAAAGGCGAACGTTCGACCTGGAATTATCGTTGTGCTAAAAGAAGATAATCTTCCCCCTCAATGTTGGAGACTGGGAAGAGTGGTGAATGTCTATCCTGGAGCGGACAATTTAGTAAGAGTGGTAGATGTCAAAACGAAGACAGGTACATTCAAACGACCTATACATAAACTTGCACCTTTACCTATAGCCGATAATGACCTCACTTCCACTTTTTGCCTGGGGGAGTATGTTCAGTTCACCAACAGCCGAACTGAAGAAGAAGCAGTGTCTAGCAGTGAGCAGGAAATATATTACTAACGCCCACCCCTTTTGCAAAGTGAGCGAGACTGGGAGCATAATAGCAGGGGTACAACTGTGAGAGAACGCCCGCCCCTTTTGCAAATTGAGCGAGAATGTGAGCATAAAAGCAAGGGTACAACTGTGAAAGGACGCAACTTTTCATTCAACCGTCGACCGTGTCGCACCAAGCGAGGAGCCCATCCAGAGAGCACAACAGAGAGCATTCAGTATAAATTTAGCAGTTGAAGAGAGAACATTAAAATTAAAAATATGTAGAGAAGGAAAATAAATCAGTGTGAAAAGTGAACTTCTCCCGAGCTTTGCATCCGATCTCCGAACGTCCAATCCAACACTCCACATCATAACACAAAAAAGAGTTTTAGAACTTTCAGCCTTTTTCAAGGCTCAGCGAGTTAATTGCAAAGGTTGTTGCTAGCCAAGCGGGCTAGTCCAATCCAACCACGTCGTGGCTTTTCGAGTAAAGCCAAGTCTAGGTGTTCGGGCCAGTTGCCCTCCTGGGAAGGAACGCGAGGGTTCCTGCTCCCACCCGGCTCGGTTCCCGAAGGGAACGCGAGTACCGTCAACCGACCAGTGCAGTACAGTCCACCGTAGCTCGAACAAGGTGATGGTTTGTCTTCCGCTCGGCAGGGTTCTTCATACGGCAGTTACCAACGAATCGCAAGACGTAGCCCATTACACGTTGGATTTTGCGGAAGCTGCTGTATCTGGAGAAAAATAGGAAAGGTTCCATACTTACAGCTGCAGTGACGATGACTGGTTTCAGCTCTGGCAGCAACGGATCTGGTACTTCTTCGGGTGGATTGATGTCGTATTTCACTCTCTGGAGGAACTCAGGGCCATTCCACCAAAGGCTGTTGTTCTCCAAGGCTCCAGGTAGTTGGCCGCGTGAGACGATGTCGGCCGGGTTCTGCATCGATCTAACGTACTCCCACCGGAATCCACCAGTGTGTTCTTGAATTACAGCAATTCGGTTTCGGACGAATAATAGGAGTTGGTTGAGCGGTTTCTTGATCCAGACTAGGACAATCGTACAGTCACACCAAAGTACAATTTCCCGGAACTCCATATCCAGGGCAGGTAATACCGTCAGAACTAATCGTGTCAGCAGGAGAGCGGCGCAAAGTTCGTTTCGTGGGATGGAAAGATCGTGAAGAGGGGCCAACTTGGATTTGCTTGTCAGTAGGCGGAAACTTCGCTGAACCATCGTTGAACAGCCTTCGTAGGTAGATGCAGACCCCGTACGCCACTGTTGAGGCATCGGAGAACCCGTGCAATTCGAACGCGACCACTCCTTGGAATGTCACGCATCTTGGGATAGCGATGTTGTGCAAATGCGACAACGAAGCTTGAAGTTCTTGCCACTCTTGCGCCGTGTCTTCATCAATCGGATCGTCCCACCCTACCTTGAGCTGCCACAATCGTTGAGCCATTAGTTTTGCCAATACGATGACTGGAGAGACCAACCCAAGAGGGTCGAAGAATTTGGCTATATCCGAATACATTACCCTCTTAGTAACACGTTGTTGTAATGGCAGCGGTTGCTTCGGAGGGTTTGCAATGTACAGCAATGTATCGGCATTCGGATCCCAGAGCAAGCCAAGGACCTTGATAGTTTCGTTTACACTACGTTCTTCTAACGGTATCCTTTTCTCCTGGTCTTCCACGGGAATGCGCTCGAGAAATTCTTGGGAGTTTGAGCACCATTTATGTATCTGAAAACCACCACGTCCTAGGAGCTGCTTCAATTGTTGTTGAGCTTCGATTGCATCTTCCACCGAGTCTGCGCCGGACAGTACATCGTCCATGTACGTCTCCTCCTTTACAATGCGAGAGGCGATAGGAAAAAAACTCACCTTCTTCCTCGACGAGCTGTATCAGGCACCTTGTTGCGAAGTATGGAGCGGATGCTGTACCGTAGGTAACGGTACACAGTTCCAGAACCCATAGCTTCTGCGACGGGTGTGGTCTCCAGAAAATTCTGAGGAAACGTCGATCTTGAAGTGTTTGCAGTACCTGCCGGTACATCTTGGCTACGTCTCCAGAAAAGGCGATCTTGAACTTTCGGAAGCGTAGGACGATGAAATGCAGATGATTCTGCACCACAGGACCGACTTCCAGGACTTCGTTTAAAGACAGCTTTTCAGATGACGACTTGGCACTTGCATCGAACACGACACGACATTGATGTGGAAGATAATACCTCTGCTGGTTAAGAGGATCGTCAGCTTCATTGATTTAACGGCAATGTCCGAGAACCTCGTACTCTTGAACGAACTCCACGTACTGCGCTTGTAGTTCGGGATTGTTTATCAGTCGTTTCTCCAGCATCAGGAACCTCTTCAGAGCTAAAGCACTGCAATCGTCCAGCTGCGAAGAATTTTCATTGAACGGCAAGCTCACTATAAATCTTCCGGACTCGTAACGCTGGTATGTGGACAGAAAGTGTGCTTCGCATGCCATCTCTTCGGTTGATAACTTGGGTACGTCCGGCACTTCCTCGATTTGCCAGAACTTGTACATCATTCGCTCGATGTCTTCAAGAGAAACGTGGCTGGCATGCTGATTTGATACGTTGGAAATCTGTGGCTCGACGATGACACCAGATACGATCCACCCAAGGTGAGTGTCTCGTAACTGTGGCAGGTTGTCCGCTAGGTTGAGTTGGCTTGGATTCAGTATATCAAAAAACAGCTCTGCGCCGATCAACAGGTCCACCCTATCAGGTGGGTGGAACTCGGGATCGGCAAGAAGCACTCCAGCAGGGATGTTCCAATTGTTGATGTGGATCTTCGACGATGGAATTGTGCCCGTTACTTTCGGCGTCACTAGGCACTCGAGACTGGCTTGGAAGTTGGATACTCGGGACTTGAATTTCAGCGTCACTTTGTCACGAGCGAGGGTGCGCAACGCGTTGATACCGATGATCGAAACACTGGCTGGCTTCTTCGGCAGGCCCAGGCGATTGGCCATGTCTTCGGTCACGAAATTCACCTGGGAGCCGCTGTCCAACAGGACGCGGCATGGATGGGGATGACTCTTCTTATCAAACACCTGCACCACTACGGTTAGCAGCAGTACCGTCTTGGTCGACTGGGCGAAGTTGGACGAACAGGTTGTGGACACAGGGTGTTCCACGGGGGCAAGAATCTTCTGCACTGACGTCGACGGTTGACTTGGAGCAGCCGGAACCGGTGGCGGGATTGCCATATGGCTGGAGGAACCTTTGGAGTGGCTCGAGCTTTTGCCTCTAGCAGTAACTCTTCCACAGCATTGGATACGTCGTAGTACAGTTTCTCGAAGCTTGCGTATTCGTCATCTTGTCCATCGAGCACTTCATCGGGTACCAGGGCTATTACCTTGCGGTGAAATTGGCTGTACTCAGCGTCTCTGTTCGTCAGCGGCGATTGTCAAGATGGTTGGTTCACTTTCGGCGGAGACGGAACAGTAATTCTTTGATCATCTTCTCATTTCGGTTACTCTGCTTAGCAAACCCCACACTAGACTGCCAATGAATGTATGGGAAAAATTTGGCCATCAAATTTCGCTAACAAACCATTTGCAAAATGTTTATTGCCTCGAAAAATGACCCTATGCTAAATTTGAGCTCAATCGGACATGATTTAGGGGTGGCGCAAACGCGTCAAAGTTTGACTTTTTTCACTCTCGAAAATCTCCCAAGGCGGGGCACACTGGGGCAGATCAGTGATTTTCTCGGAAAAAATTAATAACTTTTGAACAAAGCATCCAATCAGAATACTGTCTTCGGTAAAGTTGTTTGTATTAGTTAAGCGCTTCTTCTGAATAAATTAATTAGTTCGCAACTTGGTCGTAGAGATGGCGCGCTAATCTAACTTTTGAATAAAGCATCCTAGACGTATGGTGTTTTCAACAAAGTTTTTTATCTATTAAAATAAAGGAAAGTTGCGCAAGACATAAAACTTCCATAACCTTTAGTTTCGGAGATATAAGGTATATTGAAAAATATGATGCCAAAATTCTTATTTGTTAACGTTTTGTATATTTTCATACGTTTTCTCTGGTTTCTGCATTTATTCCAACGAAAACAAACTAGGTGCAAATTTTCATTGCACTTTTTGTGGAATTTATAGTGGTTTTAGTGAAATATTCTCGAAAAACATGATATTTTGCCTGTATTTTAGGTGGGTGGGATTCTCGTAGGGGCAGCTAAGGGCAGCTGGACTTTGTCTCTTTTGCTAGCTCATGTCATTGTCTAACATATACCAGAAAACTAAAGACATGATATTCGATGATTTTTTTTAATTTCACCTTTTGTAAACCGTTACAAGGATCTCTACTAATAAGGAAACCTGTCAGTTATGTATAATTTTTATTCGTTAAACTTTTTAAATTGCAGATGCAGTAATGGTTTGAAGATTAAACTATCTCTTAAGTTAAAGTATTTAGAAATCAGTTGTCCTTAATTGTCACTAGCGTCAAATGAATCCGGTGGTTGTAATAATGCCAATACCTCGCTATTTATTTTTATTAATTGGGCTGAATTTTTTTTCGGTCTTTTTCGCAGACTTGTAATTAATGGATCTGGTTGAAAAAATAGTTTGATGTGCTTGTGTGATCTATTATCTTTACTAAAATTAATTTTCAGACACCACTAAACGAAATGCATGTTGAGCATATGGCATAGAATAAACAACTGTTGAAAATTTACATTGAAGTTGAATCCATTATAGCAACTTTGTGGATTATTGCGCAACACCGGAAATTGATCACTGAACTGAGACGAGAACAAAATTCACGCTTATGGATACCAACTACTGAAACATTGACGCACATTAATAATTCTCGATTACTTTTTCGAAGAGATGTATCAGCTTTGTAAACAATACATTTGATCGTCGGTTTGACGTAACTGCTAGCTCGCTCACGTATACTATAACACTACCATCAGATAGGAGAAATTTCCTCCTGCATGATAGTGGTGTTAGTATGCGTGGATGAGCTACCAGTTACACCAAACCGACGATCAAATGCATTGTTTACAAAAGCTGATACGTCTCTTCGAAAAAGTAATCGATAATTGTACGTTGTACACGATCGCGTTGGCACGGCAGCACACAGCTTGTAGGATGATGTCACATATACAACTTTACCTGGGTAATGCAGCTGATTGAGCTGACGTATACATGGTGGAAAGGGACGGATAATCGTGTAGTAAGCAGAGAGTCAAAAGCAGATGATATCATCAAAAACATGGCCACCAGCCAGGCCCCTGGTTCGCTGGCAGCTCATAATAAGTAAACAATCTCAAAATTCAGCACAGCATTTAAAAATGGTGACATGTCAAAAATTTATATAATGTTTTCCATTTTGTGAAACAGTTCATTTCAATGTAAAGGTTGTTTTTATCGGTATATATAAAGTGAAATTTAAAAAAATCATCGAATATCATGTCTTCAGTTTTCTGGTATATGTTAGACGATGACATGAGCTAACAAAAGAGACAAAGTCCAGCTGCCCTTAGCTGCCCTTTCGAGAATCCCACCCACCTAAAATACAGGCAAAATATCATGTTTTTCGAAGATATTTCACTAAAACCACTATAAATTCCACAAATAGTTCAATGAAAATTCGCACCTAGTTTGGAATAAATGCAGAAACCAGAGCAAACATATGAAAATATACAAAAAAGTTAACAATAACATCATATTTTCCAATATACCCTATATCTCCGAAACTAAAGGTTATGGAAGTTTTATATCTTCTGCAACTTTCCTTTATTTTAATAGATAAAAAACTTTGTTGAAAACACCATACGTCTAGGATGCTTTATTCAAAAGTTAGATTCGCGCGCCATCTCTACGACCAAGTTGCGAACTAATTAATGTATTCAGAAGAAGCGCTTAACTAATACAAACAACTTTACCGAAGACAGTATTCTGATTGGATGCTTTGTTCAAAAGTTATTAATTTTTTCCGAGAAAATCACTGATCTGCCCCAGTGTGCGGGGGGGGGGGGGGGGGTATATGAAATTTCGGAAATCGAATTTTTTTTTTGATGCCAAATGTCTTAAAAATGCATGAAAGATTTGGTGTTATCTCGATTTTTTTTTCAAAAATCGACTTTCTGGGACTTGTTAAAAAGTCATTGTACTTTCATCAGATTGTACTGTAAACTAAACAGCACTAACGGTTGTCCTGTACAATTTTCGGAATTATTCTACGATTTATGTCTGTCTATGCTTCTATTTTACGTGGTCTCAGATACTAAAAAGTAATATCATCAAATGTTTTGAAGTTTGGATTCTTAAAAATTCCAAAACACAACATGATGATATTTTCAGATACATGCGTTTGGTAAAAAGTAATGGTTTTTACATACCTATTTTGATTTTTGGACCACCCTAATGAAGAATAATTGGACCACCCTTGTGAATTATTTCGTATTAGATCCTAAATGGTGGTTTAATTCGATATATAAGCAGGTTGGAGACAATTGTGAACAGTTTTAGAAGCCGACTCATCAATCTTCTATATTCCATATAGAACTCATAAAAAAAATTCTCAGAAAGCCGATTTTTGAAAAAAAAAAAAATTCGAGATAACACCAAATCTCGACGTTTCATACATTTTTAAGACATTTGGCATCAAAAAAAAATTTTTGATTTCCGAAATTTCATGTACCCGGGGGGGTAGCGCAAACGCGTCAAAGTTTGACTTTTTTCACTACCGAAAATCTCCCAAGGGAGGCCCTTGGGAGATTTTCGAGAGTGAAAAAAGTCAAACTTTGACGCGTTTGCGCCACCCCTAAATCATGTCCGATTGAGCTCAAATTTTGCATAGGGTCATTTTTCGAGGCAATAAACATTTTGTATATGGTTTGTTAGCGAAATTAAAAATTACCATTTTCGCTGGCAGTCTACCCCTCACGCATCAATATATTGACGTGAAGGAGAATTATTGACAATAATATTGATGGTGAATTCAGCAATATTGTCAATTTCGATGTCTTGACGTCAATATAGAATGTATTGACAATACGATTATTGCCAATAAAAGCAATCGTGTAGGGTCCACTTTTGACTTCGTCATATTTCAAGACGTTATAATTTTGTAGGGGTACATAGCTCCTTTCAAAAATTTTACTAATGCGTGTGGGTTTATCATTCGTATTGATTAACTTCACTACATGGTTTTCCCAACTCCCTGTTTACAACTTTGTGGGCACAGTCAACTCGGGGTTCAATTTCCCGTGATAACAAAACGTAATAATTATCATTTTTTTTATGTAAAAACTTGTTTAAAAATTTCACACCTCGGTGGTAAAATAAATTCTCCGTTGATGGGTATCTCAATTGCTTCATTGCTACAAATAACAGATAAAAACCACGTAGGGTAAACGCTTCTATAGTTTCGGTTCGTTAGAAGCGTTAGGTTCCTATAGTTGTGTATTGAGTCTCCACCGCAACTACAGGAGCGTTTCCCCTATCATAGTATTCCGTCGGCAGGTATTGGGAAATGTTCATCCACTTTTTTTTTTTTTCGGTATTTCTGCTTTTTTTTTAATGGATTTGTCGATTGTGATTGATTTAATTTATTTATTTTAAAAAATAGAAACTTCAGCACTAGAATCAATTAGCAGAGTTGACTCAGATGATGAAAATTCTAGCTTGAGATATACAAAGTTGCTACATGATGTGTTAATTTGAAGACATTGGGTATTAATTATGTTCTGTTTATATGGTGTATTGCCTGATTTTGTACTTGGTTCTGAGGTTGTGTGTTGCACAAAATTTTTCATGGCGCATTGGAGGTGTTGCCCCCAACTACAATTTGTTGGGGGACTGGGCAGTTTTCCGTCTGTGCGTAGAAAACGTTTTGCCTAGTCCTATTTTGATTATTACTGTAGTTGTTGAGAGCAAACATATCTTCCTGTGACATCACATTGAAAAATATTTCTGCTATCAGTGAGAGCAAACTGAAAACCAAATTTGCTATCCATTTTTCATGTGATGGGATGTAACAACTGTTGATAACAAAACCAGTTTTCAATTTGATGTTATTTAGCTGCAATGAAAACAAACCCGTAACAACATATTTTTAAAGAGCAAATGTACAGCAAAATGAAAACAAAATTTGGTATCAAATTTGTCAATGTGTAAACTGAAATCAAATTATGATATCAGTTTGATGTTGATATCAAAACTTGATTTCAATTTGCTGTCATTTTG